ATCTGGCCTTAGATTAAGAATAATTTAAGAGCACTATTGAAATAGTATCTGAATTGAATAAAATGTATTGATATGAACTGAACAATACCAAAACTGTGAATGTCTGAAATGAACATTGTGTGCATGATATCAAATGATTTGATTATGAATTTAGATTCAGTTTATATGGATGTTCGACGCATTAGATATGCTTACTCAGCTTTACCGCTGAGCGTGTAGTGTGTTTTATTTGCTACACGCAGGTAAGCAGAAAGCAGAATGTGATCCTGGCGGCAGATGGGGCGAGATTGTCGGGATGGATGTGACAAGTTTTGAAACAACTTATGATACGTCAATATTAAAATCGCTTCCGCAATATCGTTGAATACTCCGTATTGTATATGTATTGAAAAATATTATTGGGACTAATAAAGTGTGTTTGAAAAGTTTTAAATTTTTACGATTACCAAGTTAAATACTTTAGTCCGAATGGGGCTGCAGACCTGGACGGATTAGGGTGTTACAGTTTGGTATCGAAGCAAATGGTTTTAAAACCGATCTTCGGATCAAAATTTGAATTAAAAAAAATGTGTTAGTCACATCCACGACTCTCGCATCCCTCTGCTCCAGGAAAGGTATGAGAATTTATTAGATAAATATTGACTTTGTTAAAATTCTCACTAGATAACAATTGTTAGTAGTGAAATTATATCGAGCATAGACTCAAGTAGATTTTTTGTACTCGGTGAAGAGACGAAAGAATAAAAAAAAATTGTGATACGTTATCAACGTACTTATCATATCGCGATTGACGAAGCTGATCTATCTCGCAAAGTCGCATAGAAGTAACACGACTATGAAGAAACGCCTAATGTTGAATAACATTCGCGAAGCTGCTGTCAAAGATCCTCATGTGGATTGAAGACGATCGGATTGCTGATTTAAACACAAACGTTTAGAATCAATAAACTTTGTTGTCTAAAAGTATCCCATTCTGATGTCTAACTCATTACAACACAATATGCAATTATACTGTGTGAATCGAAATCGTTCGTTCAGCAACAATTCCTTGCAAAACTTTATCATACAAGGAAATTGACGTTATCCTTATTTCGTATCTATGACTTATTTGATCAGCTTAGAGAATCCATTGTGCTCTCTAAGATTGACTTACGGTCAAAGATACTATGACATCTCTGTTAAGGCAGACAATCTGACGATCAAGAATCGCTACCCTTTACTAAGCATTGACAATTTGTTTGGTCAAATTCAAAGGAACCTACTTGTTAGAAGCTATGGATAGCTCAATCTTGTTGAATGAGGTGACGCATTGTTATGACACAATTAGTGACTTAAACATCGATGTAGTTTCATAGAATAAATACCCGTTGTCAACTCGTCAAGAATCCTAACGAAAGAATTTCTGTTATTGTAGAATGAGTCATGAAATCGCTCACGATCAAAGTAACCAAGTGCCAAACGATGGGCACAAAAATGTTCATACTGAAGTATCCAGTTTCACACCTCCTATTCAAAGTGAACAAGTGAACTCACTACATGTTCCCCAAAATGATCAAAATATTGGAAGTCAACCTGACGCTATGCTACCTACCTTAATGGTAAACTTCTTGCAACAAATGACCAATGCCCCTGTGTTTCAACCACCTCCACCACCGCCTCGTTTGATCACTTTCAAAACCGTAAAAGATAATGGTGCTGAGGAGTTTTTGGGAGATCGAATTGCCGATCCCCAAATTGCTCTTGAATGGATCGAGCAGACCGCTCGTGTACTACAAAATTTGAACATACCTCTCGTTGATCATCCAAAATTTGCATCTCAATTGCTCCGCAAGGAAGCCTACGAATGGTGGAAACGTACTGACGAAAATCCAAACACACCCAAACCTTGGACTTGGGAATTCTTCGATTGGGCGTTCAAGAAAGAATATATACCAGCTCGATTCCGTGAAGAGAAACGTGCTGAATTTATCGAATTAAAGCAAGGAGATATGACACTCCCTGAATACCAACAAAGATTTGTCCATCTCGCTCAATTTGCACCCACGCTGGTGAGTACAGCGGCGGACCGCATTGAGGAGTTTCGCAAAAGACTTCGACCTGACCTCAGGCCGCACGTATCTACTATTCAAACTATGGATTTCATTGAGGCATACGATCTAATCTACAAAGCTGAAAAAGATCTAAGTGATTACTATGAAAGTCTGAAGAATAAGAATGTCAATCCAAATGAACGACCAAATTCAAATGGGAAGAGACCCCTGCAAGAAATTAATTGTGCCATTCACTCGAAAAAAGGAAAATCAATGACAATTCAATCGACGTCATCCATGAACAAAATGAGGGTATGGAAACATCCAAAGTGTAATGTTTGTAAAAGACACCATCCGGGAGATTGTTGGCTTGCACAAGGATTTTGTCTAATTTGTGGTGAACCTGGACATTTCCGAAGAGAATGTCCCTCTAACCCTGAATCATATTCAGTTACTTCTGTCCAAAATCAACCTGTTCGCTCAGGAACAAGTCAACGCTCTAAAACACGAAGCAATTCAAAGAGTCCAACCCAAGGATGATACTCTGTGAAGATCCTAAAGTGCTACAAGGGCTCGAAGATATATTGAATAATGTAGAAACCTTATGTAAACAAGAAATTATCTTTCGATTTGAATCTCAAGAATATTCATATTTTCTTGAACCTACGTGTGTTGAAACCATTGTATAATGAAATCTTTCATTTGACCCATCTTGAGAAAATGTTTGATATTTACATGATGCATTCTGATGTTGAAAATAGATATTTTCTAACTTGCACTGGCCATGCAACTTAGAATAATATTTATGGTTAACTCATAATGTTCATGGACAATATTATTTCAACATAAATTCAACTGAAATTACATAAACTAATATTACAAATGCAAGTCTAAGTCCAATGCCCCAGGATTTACAAATTCGTCATAACTAGCCCCAGGACCCGGAAAAGCTTTAGCAAACGCTAGCTTGTCTAAAAGCTCATCAATAAAGAAAGAAGAGATGAAAAGTTTTCTCTGACTAGAAGCCATGAAGTTCTGCCTCACTGCGTCATCTAGAAATTTGATTAGGTTATTAAAATAACCGTCAATATTCAAGAGACCAATGGGTTTACTGTGCAACCCTTCAGATGCCCATGAGATCAAAGTGAACAAACCTTCCATAGTATCAATCCCTCCAGGAAGTACGATGAAGGCCTCCACTACATGATTCATCTCGAAATGCTTATAGTAATTGCTTGAAACTGTGTATTCTGCACCATACGTAGGTCCGTAGACCTGTCGTGCTGCTATGTACCCTGGTATGAAGCCTCTAACTATACCACCATTGGTATAGACTGTTGAAGCAACAGCTCCTTGAAGGCCAACGTTGCCTCCTCCATAGGTAAGTCTAATTTTTCGCCTTACCAATTCCCTTCCTAAATCCACCGCCGTAGCCATGAACTTTGGATTTCTACCAAGAGAATGACTACCAAGTAGACCAACGAATTTTATNTAATATTACAAATGCAAGTCTAAGTCCAATGCCCCAGGATTTACAAATTCGTCATAACTAGCCCCAGGACCCGGAAAAGCTTTAGCAAACGCTAGCTTGTCTAAAAGCTCATCAATAAAGAAAGAAGAGATGAAAAGTTTTCTCTGACTAGAAGCCATGAAGTTCTGCCTCACTGCGTCATCTAGAAATTTGATTAGGTTATTAAAATAACCATCAATATTCAAGAGACCAATGGGTTTACTGTGCAACCCTTCAGATGCCCATGAGATCAAAGTGAACAAACCTTCCATAGTATCAATCCCTCCAGGAAGTACGATGAAGGCCTCCACTACATGATTCATCTCGAAATGCTTATAGTAATTGCTTGAAATTGTGTATTCTGCACCATACGTAGGTCCGTAGACTTGTCGTGCTGCTATGTACCCTGGTATGAAGCCTCTAACTATACCACCATTGGTATAGACCGTTGAAGCAATAGCTCCTTGAAGGCCAACGTTGCCTCCTCCATATGTAAGTCTAATTTTTCGCCTTACCAATTCCCTTCCTAAATCCACCGCCGTAGCCCTAAACTTTGGATTTCTACCAAGAGAATGACTACCAAGTAGACCAACGAATTTTATGGTGTAAGGAAAAGTTCGAGATGTTCCTTCCATAATGTGAGAATGTGAAATGCTCTGGCCACAATCGTGATATATATAGGCTCTGAAAACCTGACCTTTGAAAAAGGGTAGTTATCCTCCGTCAAAATTTGTACAGCAAAGATGGATTCAATTTACCTACTGACAATGACGTGTTCGCTAATAATACAGTCTGCTGATGATATGACATATCAAGACTCATGAACAGTTAGATTCGCTGTCCTGAAATTCGTTCAAATCCAAGATGAAAAGTCAAATGGTTACTGCCCTGAAGACAACGACCCCTTGAGTAATTGAAAGACTACGTTACGACGTATGAATTGAAACAAACTCCAATTGTGCTTATCAAAGACCATTCAAGAGTATTGAAGAAATTTTCAATCGATTCTGTTAACCAAGGACGTACAGATAAGACTCGTAACTGAACGAAGTTATATGTCAAGTATG